AAAAATGGATCAGGATAGTCCCTCCATCTGAAATTTGTGCTTATTCAGATGGGTCCTCAGAAGGTCACGGTCGATCGGCATGGGGCTATGTGCTTCTAAGAGGAGGAATTACCTTCAAGAAGGAACGGGGGTCGCTGCACGGATGCGACACTTTCGACGCCGAGATTGTCGGGGCAGTAGGCGCGCTGCGAGCCGCTATCATTGCGAGACAAGGGGAGGAAAAGATAACCGTGCTACTTGACAACCAAGCAGCTGTTGGAGTATTGCAGACTGGAAATTCATCCTCTACCTGCCGCTTAATCCGCATCTTTCATGATGCTGTGCAAAGATCTAACGCAGAAATTAGATGGGTCCCAGGACACTCAAACATAGAGGGGAACGTGAGGGCAGACAAAGAAGCTCGGGCCGCACTAAAATTACTTCCGGACAGCCAGAAACAACCCAGCTATATCAGTCTTGCTTACCTTCGACGTCTTATGCAAAAGCGACGACAAGAATTGATAGACAAATGGTGGTCAACTGCTTGTCCAGCTCGATACCAAGACTTGGACCTGCAAAAGCGACGACGTAAACCCCCAGAACTTTCGTTGCCACGGAAATTACTACACGAACTCATTGCTGCCAGAACAGGGCATGGAGATTTTGCGGCGTATCACCGTCGCTTCAAGCACGAAGATGCAAATCTAGTTTGTAGCTGTGGGCTAGAAAAGACGCCCACCCACTTAATACGCTGTCGGAGATACAATATTCTGACGCGTAAACTTAGAAAAGACTTGAGCTTAGATGCTTTTACCAGGCAACTCCTCGGACGTAAAGGGTTAAAGAAGTTTAAAAACTTTGCATGGGTTACAGGCTGCTTAGGTAGGCTGGACGCATCTTAGTTCTGGGCTGAATGCAAGGACAAATACGCTGGCGGAGGAGAGCTCAGGATGAGGATCGCTGACTCAAAACCATTGATTATTTCTTTTGTTAATTTCTTTTCTTTTTCTTCACTACATTATTTATTTAAAGAGCGCATGATTTATTAGCTCTAAAATGGGTATGAACGAGTAGGGCAAGCCTCAAGGTTAAATCTCGGCCGGCTCCACCGGTCCTACATCTAAATAGATTGAAGGTTACGGCCTAGGACTTAAAACTAAAATAAATAAATAAATATGGTCCAATCGTGTTCTTCCAACAATCGCTAATAGAAACACATTTTCAACGACACTCTTGACTGCCTAACCAACATAGCCTCTAACTCTTAACATCACTATCAATTCATCCTCTATTCTAGCAAACAATATGTCTCGAAAAGTCTATTTCATAAACTAAAGTTTGCAGGCATCTAACTCGCGATCAATGTATTGAAATAAGAACATTAAGAAGACTTGGCTTGACATTACAACATATATCCGACGAACTTGGCTTCACAAGAAGGCAAGTGCAACTTGCGTGTGCTCGAGAGACTGAGACTCCTATGCCTCGCAAAAGATGCCCACCTAAATTAAGTGCGGAACAAGTTGATGAGCTTGAGGCTTTCGTCCGGGAATCACCTGAAAAGCGACAGATGTGCTCTTTGGAACTAGCAATGGGATCCTTCAGCCACTCGGGATGCACCGAGCATTAACTTTCAAATGCCCTCAATAAAATGGGTTACAGCAGATGCATTGCTTGGAAGAAGCCTCTATTAAGTGTGGTCAACATGCACAAAAGATGTGTAGCGGTGTTAAAGGAAAATGGAGGGTACACAAAGTATTAGGATGGAGAAGACTAATACAAAACATGTAGTACGCTTTCAATCTAGTTGCGAGCCACGCTAAGGGCTTCGATGTAGACTTTTGTAATACAGAGCAATTATTTTTGAAATAGATGTGTATTTTTAGATAATATCAATTGATTTTTTTAAATTTTAAATTTTAAATGAGGACAATTGTACTTTTCCTTTGGTGTTGAAAACCGTCCCCATTTATTTTGACTTTCACGGAATATCGTTGGATAGTACCCCTGCTTGCATAACTAGTCGATAAACTAGACATGGGCCTGCATGAAGACCATACCAATTAAGGCGATATGTGCAGGGATATAAACCCAGTCATTTTGACAATTGTACCATTACACCCCACAAGAGACTGTAGAGAACAGGTTGGATTTGCATAAAACTGAGTATGACATGAAATCAAATTGTGCCCTTAGTTTAGGCTTTGAAATCCAGGACAAGAATAATGTAGTCTGTCGAAACGGGCGCTAACAGGGGTACAAACCCTGAAGCGCATATGCGCCCCATTTAAATCCACTGAAAACTTAAATCGTGGCACTGTGTATCCACATCGCCCGATCCTAAATGGGAGGCTCGTGCAATGATGGAGATCTGCAATCGACCCCTATTTATGCTATGTAATCTCTGTAGCGTATTTGTATTCATAGGGAGTTTTAGGGTAGAGGGGAACAAATTAACTTACATCTGACTTAACGACTTACAAGGCATTCTGTTATACTAATTACAGGCGTGCTTTGAGTCCCTAGTCTATTGTAAGACACAGACGCACAGCACCATAGTAGACTGCCAGGTAGTACTGCGTCAAAGCCGCCCTTGACATCTAGCGTGAGCATGCTGGTGGTTCGTCCTCGTTTAAGGTTCTTTCAACGTTGTGCGTTGGGCAGGTAGTTAGGTCCACTGCTGATCTTCTAATGAGAGACCCAAGCTGCTGGCTTGCCATTATCTTGTACCGAACTGCAATTCAGGCCGTATGCTTTGCTAGCGTACGTTCTAAACCCTTGCCTAGAACTGAAAGGATGGAAATAGGGCGACAAGAGCGATAGAAAGATAAGGCGCATTCGTTAGACTTCTGTATCATTATCGGTGTCGATTGGCGGAAGCAGGATCGGTAATGCCAAAGTGACATGCAGTTGTGGAGGAGGGACTAGACGTGATCAGCAATGTGTGACTAGGCATGGCAAAAAATAGTATTCGGAGTTCCGTCGCTGCTAGTAGCTATTAGCAGACTTGCAGATGGCGTCTAGAACTTCTTGTTGGCCCAGCTCCGGGAAATAAACCGTGCGATTGGGGGACTGTTATCGACACATGTCACTGGTGATTCCTACGAACCTCCAGCTCTCACTGAAGAGTCTGCAGAGCCGAGATTGAGTGACACCTTTTCAACTTTGAGCTGAGTTAAGTCCCCCTCTGTCAAAGATTTGCTTCCGATAACTTATTAGACGACCAAGACGGTGATAATGATGCTGGGAATGAAAAATTTAATGCGGTACCGAATGCTACAATCGTAGTCAGAGAAGCCCTCGTTATATTTCAAAATGTGCTACCCATCGTCGGGCGAACAAAGAGTCCACGAATGCAAAGTGAAAGACCCTCCCGCCCTCAAGAAAAGCAGATTTTGACTCGTCAATAGTATCGTCCCTACTAATCTATACCTCCGAGCATACTAGCCAGGAGGGCATCTGAAATACATGAGTTACTCGACGACTCCATCTCCGTAACGATTTTTAGATACTGGGCTAGGCTCCTTCACGACTGTCACTCTCGATCAAGACATTTCTGTCATCCTTTCACGACCTTCAGTTTGTCCTGCGGCATGAATCAGAGGAAGAGCAAGGAGGAGGATAGGAAGGTTAAGAGACGCTCTTAGCTACATACAGGTCTGCTGCGCCCGGCTGGCCAGCCTCTTCGTCATAGGAGAGACCCGCACTCAGTGGTTTTTGAGACTTTGCCCTGCAGCTACACACCCGCAACTGGCCATCGTTTCGTTGGCTGGAGAGGGGAGATAATTACGGGATAACGGCTTCTCTTAGTGTGTACTCGAATGAAGACCTGTGGGGGTATTACTGCTTGAAAGAAGTCATGAAGGAGGCATAGAAGGGAGTACACTACCCGAGGCATAGATACTCCCGGCATTTAGGCAGAAAGGATCTACATGTCCTTACAAAATCATAGACTTCATAGGACAATAAAAAAATACAAACAAACCAAAGTGAGTGATTAAGGACTGCGGGAGTGACGAATGGGATATCACATGCCTGTGCAAGGTTCGGCAAAATGTTCCTAGTAAAGACTCTTTTTCTCTGCAGGGGTTATGGCAGGGCTCTTATCCTGAAATCTGGGGTTAATCAGAAGAGGGTAATGAAGTCAGTGAGCATGTCACTAGCATTATGAATGAAGGTGGTTGTGTCAAGGTCACCTGGCACCTAAAAGTGGATCGTAGTATAAATAGGTCCATGCTGTATTAATTACGAAACGTCAGCTAAAATTAGCATGTTGTAGTTTGTGTACATGTTTGGGGAGGGGGTGTGATAAAGAAACGGACTACTTACATCTCACTAAAAGTTTATCCAGGCGCTCGGATATACTGTCATATTTGCTTCGAGTCCATGTTCTACCGTAGGACCAGGAATTATAATGATACGAATGAAGTTTTAAATCGCTATATTTTTTTGCTACACGGGGAATTTCACTGGCTCGGATGCTCAGTGTCGGGCTGGTCACATAAAATTACTATAAGTCAAATCTCACAAATTAACAACTAGTATTCTGCAGTTCTAGCTTTTATTCGCGGAAATTCACACTCTTCGCCTCGTCGACCCTTAGATACCAGGCCTCGTGGGTGACTCCAATTCATTCGGGACGATTCAGTGATTGTTTAGAATAATATCTTGTATTTGTCGTTTCAAAATCTATTCTAGGATCATAGTGATCGGTAAGCAAACATGGTATTAGGAAGTTTACGTAGTTTTTATCCCTCAAGGCTGTTACATGACACACAGCATTCTTAATTTGAGTTCCAAGTGGAAACTAATCTATTTCTTTCTTGAGCACCTGTCCTGGCCTAGAAGTTAACTTGGAAGGTCTTCCTAACTAGTATATGTGTAGTGCCGGGGATTCCTAGGATGATTTCTTCAATTCTCCATTGTGAATTGGAGCCCAAATTTTGTGATGCTCTTCTTTTCACAAGCGAAGGTTTTGCTGTAAGCCCAACTCTGAAACATAATATTGCCTGAATATTTGATCAAAAGATAGAATTTGGTTCCACTATCGAGTCGTAAGTTGTTGGCATTGTATGACTGTACTCTCCAGTTTTGATATTGTAAACCTTACAGCCTCTTAGCGCTGCATTGGGAGGAAAGTAAACTTTATTAGTTATATTAGCTGTTGGCACGTACTTGTTTAATGTTTTATAACATACGGTGGAGCGACACGGCGTACTCAGATTGGGACTGATTAGAAATTTCGTGAACACCAAGCTAATAAATTAGTCGCTGATATGAAAAAGTCTCCTGTCATACCTTATCAGACATATATGCTACTTTATTAAGGCCATAATTAAGATCTGAAGTCTGAACCATAGGACAGTTGAAGCTAGCATGTGGAATTCCATATCTTCTTTCCCGCAAATTACCTTTAAGTATCTATTGATGTTAGAGTTTTCGAGGGATTTTGCAACTGCGACATACCTTCATAAGGCAGTGAGAATCAGTATGATCATGGATCGGGCTCGCCTTACCCGGCGTCCAAACAAGTAGGAGCAAATTGAATAAATTGGGTACTTCGTAAACTAGATTTCTAGTATATTGTTTAGTTGCATCTGCTTGCGCAAATTTGGACCACTCGAGTGAATCTGAATTGTATGCCTGGAGTAGCGCACGAAGCCTAGAGATAGATGGAGGGTTGGTAGTTTTAAGAGTCGTAGAGAGAGATTCTACTAGCCCCCTGAAACCAGACCTAGGCGGCAAGAATTTTGTAATGCTGGATGCCAGTAACTCCTTCGGTTCGTGCAATATAAATTCTGGAAGAACTGATATGAGTGAAAGTTGTATCCCTTAAAAGCGTTGACGTACCTGCTGGAGAAGACACTTTGTATGAGCGGTGTTGGTTCGGCTTTCTTGCATGCGAAATCTTGGTTCCCGAGTTTATACAGCGACAGAAGTTCATAGTCAGTCCTAAGCTACCCCTTGATTTCATAGCAGTGGTTAAATTATGGTATGAGTTCATCTTTATTCGAAGAAAATCTAAAGATCTTTCAGGTATTATCGATGAAGAGGTGTGTAAGTGTGGATACGATAGCTGTCAAGAGTATTTAATAAAAATAATTTCAGAACTGATTTTTTTATTGCTAGGTTAAGGTTCACTCTGTAAAGATATGCTTCAAAAAGTGAGTTATTTTGGAGGAATCGGCTACGTTTGGTTGAAATTGAGACAAAAATAGAGTCTGGTGACTTGAAAACCTCCATGCTAGTCTTTGGGTAGCGACTCCATGCTTAATCCTGCATTCGGTCCGATTCGGTTGCTAATCTTACATTTTCATCATAACGAGTACCTGCTGTGCTGTTTATCCCAATGACCTTTCCACACGATATCTACCCAATACCGAATATTACAACTTCGTTTTGCAGATGCTGGTTACGTCTCCACTTTTAAGGGGTCGAAAATATTATGACGTATTTTGCTGGCTATCTCATGTTGGGTGGTAAGCCCCAAATCAATTAGCGGCAGTCCTATCATTGATATTACTCATCATGAATTTCGACATGGACATGGTTTCTCCACATTAGACTGGCACACACATGGGGTTTAGAATAAATGCGCCTTTGCAATGTAGACGCTCTGCTAGTGTCAGGTTTTCGAAGCGTAGATCCGCTGTGTCGATCTACATTATCATCATTTGCATTGCAGATAAATACAAGAATACGAGAAGTATCGAAGGAAACACTTCTTCCAACTGTGACTTGGGTCGTTCTTATTGGCTGAAGCAAATTAGGATGAGCGAGAAGCTCGTAATTAACCAAAAATGGTTGGTTTCGTGTGGTGTTCAACATATCTCACATCAATTAGAGGATGAGAAGAGGACCAAATTAAAAGATGTGATTGACGATGAGGGAAAATGTGGATTGAGACGTACTGATATTACCATAACCTGTAACAGTTGAGTGATTAGCGTCAGTGGTGTGATCGATCACACCATAACACGTGATGTTAGATAATAAATAATTATTTGTAAGCAGACGAAAGTCTATTGTGCAGGTGTACAGTTCATAGGCAAGATGCAGATCAATAACAGGGATACGGAATTCACTATTTTTTTTTTCAATCATTTAATATGTATTCAGCTATAAAGCTATGAATCCACTACTTGCGCACATGAGGGCATTGAAGAAGATACTAGAATAGCCTCTTTTTTCTTTTTTTTTGCATCAGATTTTAATTGCGTATGCAGCTGTCTATCTGTGACAAAATATCAAAGAAAAGTACAGAAAAGATGACTCAATTTACAAGAGGAGCACTCATGCCTCGGATTTCATTTGCAAGTACCACTGCGAAGTTATGGTGGCTTTTTCTTCACCCCGAGTCAACCCTCATCCGTGAATACCCACCCAGGGGAACGGCTCAAAGACCCTGAGTTATCCAGACATGCCTCCGTCATCCATCAACTTCTCTCCGCGCGAAATGTAATCTGAGATGTCTCCTTCCCAAGTGGAGTAGGTGCCCAGGCTACTCAAACTATACTAGAGAACATCACCAGGAGACGGATCACAACACCTTCCATCGTCGGCTTGTTTTTATAGTGTCAGCTGCACTCTCGCAAGCGAAGTCTTGGCGCGCACAAAGGTTAAACTGTAAAACTCTTGCCAAAATTCGAGATTTCAATCCCGTCGAGAATGTATCCCTCTTTTGCATCATCTTGTGAACTTGTCCTGCTACCTCTCACGTCCATCCCAAAGAGCTATCTCCCAGATTTGTGCTCCACGCTTTGCTTCCTCCGTCGGGCATAAATATCGGCGTAGGCGTGTATTTGGTGGTCAACTGAGACCAGAGAAGGTCGAAGAGAGGTGTGGTCATTGGGATGAGGATGTACTAGGTCGTACTTGTAGACTTGATGAAGCTTAGGTAGGAATCGATCTCGTTGGGAGTTAAAATTTGACGTGTTGGAGTAATTTGAATCACTGCCTCGTGGGCCAACTTGTTCGGTATTGCGAAATTTGACTGAACTTGGCTCTGGAAGAATATATCACTCCCAGGTTCGTAGAGGACACCGCGTACAGGTGTCTAGTCTTGTCCTCCTAGAATAGCCTGATGTACTTGTTGGGAGTGACAAGGGATCACAGAGAGGGGTATTAAAATCAGACTCTCGTAATAATGGAGAAAAACGAGATAACGAGTTCCTTTGATGATCAATTGCCTTCTCGATCTGGATCAGTTACATACGATCTCGTGACTTTCGTATAATTTTGCTGTGAACTCTTACATTATTCAATTATCCTGATTTAGTGCAGTGGCGGCCCATGCAGGCATCCTCTGAAAACATCTTTCTTAACTAATTATCTCATAATGAGATTTGGAAAATCCACACTCAAATTTCATTCTAAGACATCACTCGAAGTTTACTCTTGCTACACGTAACCTCTTGAGTGTATACCTATTACACAGAAAGGCGTGACATACGAATGATTCATCCGAATTTGCTATCGCCGCACTAAAAACACGATACTATCGCGAGAGATGGTGGTGCGTGGGTCTAACTGTTTTCGAAGCAGCTTTCTTCTGTCTCAAATTTCGGCAAAGACGAATTCTTCAACTTTCAGCGATGCCAGTTTAATCGCCCAGTTTGCTCTGCATATCTGGGATAGCCGAGAAGAATCGCATCCGAACCTAATTCGGAAGCAATCTCGAGCATATCTTCATTTGTCCACTTCTCAATCATGTAGCACTCACCATACTCATCTGAGACCTGAGCCTCTTTCTAACCACGTATCATCTCGCCTCAACGACCAATAGAGAATTTGCTCCAATTGCAAACAGAAGCTTGCCTAATTCATAACCGGTTATCTCTCACAACAAATTTACGACGCTATTCATACCCGCAAGTGGGAAATCAAGTCATAATATACAAAGCCTGGGTCTTGGCTTATGGGAGTCTGTTGCTCTAATGGGACAAACAACTTGAGGGAGAACAGGCGCCTGAGTTGTGCGGCGAGAGGGGGAACAGGTCTCTGAAGACTATGCTGGGACTGACATACTCGAAGGGGTTTTCAACTAGGGATTTTTTGTAGGCGCCAAGACCAAGATTTCGGCTAATTAGCCGGGAGGACTTCTTTTGTCGATGAGTCAACGGCACTACCCAGCGCCCTGGACGTCACGAAAGAAGTTGAGCTGAGCTACCATACAGCAATCACACCCTATCAAGGCCTTTCTGACACTTGAGCACAACATTCGGGAAGGAGTTGGAAGGAGGCTAGGAAGGTAGAGGGTGGATTCTCTGAGGTACCCACAAGTCTGCAGCGCTCAGCTGGCCGGCCTCTTCGAACACATCAGGAAGATCACTATATCTTCGGATTTAGTCCTGATGTCGATATAAAGAGATCTACGTTAACTAGTGGCTGCCATACACCCCTAAACTGCCATTGTCACGCTGGCTGGAGAGGATGATCTTAAAGGGCGAAGGGTTTCTCTTAGTGTATGATCAAATGAAGGCTTGTGAGGAGTGGTACTGTTTGAGGAGAGCTGCGTGGGAATCATAAGAGTGGATATAACACTGGCATAGGTATCCTTAGCCTATAGGTAAAGAGAACCTGCATGTCCTACACTGTCATAGACTCAGCAAGGACCAAAATAATTAATTGTATATATATTTTATTTAAAATTGAAATTGAATTAATTGAACCCGATTTGGCGCCCTGTGGGCTTATGCTGGCGGCTATGAAGCTATCCATGTATTTACGTGAGGAGCAAACCATGACAATAAAAACCCCACCCCCCATTAACTTTGGTATTCATCTATAGTCCTTCGTTACCCATAGGAAGTGCAATTGACCTTGAGTCCGAGACAGGACTAGCTGAAATTATATTGGACCTCGCCATCCTTTCCCTGCCCTCGCGTGCGGAAAAGAGACTTCTTTAGTCTTGAACATGACCCCGATGGTCCAAATACTTGCGGTGGGGGATTGACCGGGAGCTATTTGCGCGGGCGTCCTGGCCCTCTCTTTAGTACCTCCGGCTCTTGGTGGGACACCAGTGTGAACCCTTGGTCATCTGTAGATTTTGCCGTGGTTGGTATTGTATCTCCTTTTCTGAATTCCGCCGTTCTCTCCATAAGTTCATACCTGCTCGTTGAACGCTGGCCTTGTATACCGCGAAGTTTTGACACGCCCCCTTCTGCCACGATTTATGGTCCTTGCTGTAGTTGCAGCAAAGCACCGACTTCCTCGGGCATTCTCTGGTCTGGTGAGTGCGCGGGCACTCACCACATCTCCTTGCCTTATTTCAAGAGGCTTGGATACGCCCCCATTGACAGCAGTTGAAGCACTGCTTGATTTGCGCTCGGGGTGACCAGAGCTGGGCCGTGTATAGCATTGAGTTGTATACAATGCCATTTCTTATCACTTCTCGTTGAAGTGCCTCTGTCGGCAAACTAGCGACGATTGACCCTCGAGTATGGCCGTTTCTTCCCATCCATCGGTGCTCCTTTTCGTCGAAGGGCCATCTCAACCTGTTGATTTTTAGTTCGGGGATCCGAACTTTTGATTCTGCCTCGACCTGGTTTATAAACTCGCCATTGTTTGGATTTTTACCTCCTCTCATAAATGTCCCCAACGGCATCCCCAAAATCTCAACAGTGTAATCCTTCTTCAAGACGCAGAACTCCTTTGGCTGCGCCAAACCCAAGGCAGCGTCTCGCTGGGAGACCGACTACACAAAAACTCCGTATCGTTGCTCCGCAGCTTCCTTACTGCGTATGCCCCGTCAATGTGTAGTTTTGCCTTGTCTAGGAGCTCTGCCGGCTCCATATTTTCTGCTCCTTATACTCTTCTACGTACTGCCTCTTTAGTCGCTGTCGGTGCGACGATTGAGGCGTATATGCGTCGCCCTCCCATCCCTTGTACTGCCGAAGCAGCCGTCTTGCGCGACGGCTCCTCGAGGTTCTTCGTAACTGCCTTTTCTAAGGCCAACATCCGTTCTTCCATTCGTGAAGCCTTCAGCTTCGACTGTAGCATCGTACCGTCGGGATGTTGTCTTTATTGGGGATTTGTGTAATCCCCTCGTGTATCTTCCCTATATTCCTCCTTTGCACACGTCCTGTTTCCATCATGACTTTCCTCATTAGGGCGTGTGTAGTTAGGTGACGTGACGAGACGAGTATGTAGGTGGGTTGCAGGTATGAGATCGCCTGAGATATGGATCGTCGCAAATATATAACGAGTTTGAGAGATGTCAGATGTTTGAATACGACTCGCAGACAGGATTAGGCCCATTCGTGAATCATATCTTGGTGGTGATGAGTTTTTGTTCGACTTTGTTCCGGCTGTGAAATCTCTGCCGACTGATTTTTCGACCAAAATATCAAGTGCAACTCCTTCAAGTTGACAATCCATCAAATAAAATTCATCCCCCCCCTTTTTCGTGTCTGAACCTCGGCACTGGCAGAATATTTCACTCCCAGGTTCGCGGAGGTCACCACTGACAGGTGTTCAGCCTTCGTCCTCCGAGGACAGATGGTTATTACATGTAGGGAAAAAGATCTCAAGCAACAAACCCCGTAGTCCCTCAGCATGCACACATTCCGGCTTTATGCAGAGATTATACGTCTATACTTTAAGTAAAGAATTAATAAGAATTGCTTTTTTTTATAACCTGATCCTAAGAAACCAAAGTTTAAATTAATTAGTCCTTCATGGTCAGTATGATGGACAACCACTACAGATTCTTTTTCTTTCCTAATTCTTGTCCCGTTTCCTAATCCATCAATGACATCGCTTAAATTATAAACCTTACGCTTACTAAACTTGCTTAGATACGTAATACTATGGCTGGATGATTAAGAGTGGAGTTTACCCTTGAGGCCTAATTAAAAAAAAATATGGTAGAATCCGCGCTTGGTGATGAAGACTGGGGTAAGCTGTCGCCGCTCAGTATATTATCAATACTAACTGTTCATAGTTTCTAATGCTAGTTCTGAAAATGATCAAGATGAGTTGATGGATGATGCAGAAATCGGTGAAGGTGATGACGATGATGAAGATATTGGAGATGATGACGATGGTGAAGGTGAAGGTGAAGGTGCAGATGATGAAGATCTCATGGACCAGCCACCATCATTAACTCCAACCATAAGGGAAGATAATCCAGCCGCTAGCTCCGAAGATAAAACCGGAGTTACTGTCAATAATGTGAACTCTAGGGAAAACAGCATTGCTACAAGAACACAATCCCCCTCAACCCAGCAAGCTACTTTATCCTTTCAATCTACCAGGTTGAAATTTGATCCTCGCCCGGAAGCTCTAACAGCATTGCTATATGACATTGTGCCAACTATAGCAGCGCCTCAAAGTACATCTATCAATGCGATTGCTGCAACCCCAGATATGAGGTATTGGTTCAGCGGTGGATCAGATTGTTACATTCGAAAATACGATGGTATAGCATCGATTAATGGCAAATCATTGTTGACAGTTGCCCAGAGACATCCCTTTGTAGATAGCGTTACGAAGGCTGGAGTTTTGATGAACTACTGGGATAATGAAGAGCCAATAGCGAAACTGTCTGGGGAAGACCCTCCACTATCACCAGTATACTCCCTTGCAGCTCAGTCTGAAGCACTTTGGGTATTATCGGGTCTTGATTCTGGTGCCATTAATCTCTATTCTGTGCGTCACGACGAGGGAAAGAGGATAGCCTACCTACAGCAACACAAGTCCGCAGTATCTGCTTTGACTATATCTCAAGACGAAAAGTCAGTGCTCTCAGGAAGCTGGGATAAAAACGTACTTGATTGGGATTTAAATACTGGACGAGCCAAAAGATCTTTTGAAGGAAGTGGTGGGCAAATATCAGCAATCGAGATCCGGCCCATCTCCAGCGTGACTGAGCCTATTCCTGAAGAAGCTGAAGAACCGAATAGATTAAGTGAAACTTACTCGAGTAATATCGACTTAAAAGTTTTAGCGGATGATTTTCCAAAGTGCCCAAGTAGTACTGCGCTTGGAGGATATACGAATGAAGATATCCTTGACTCACGAACCGACTCTCTCTTTGGAGGAAGCGATACAAACTCATTGTTTGGGGAAACGACTGGAGATGCTGCCATTTCTACAGATACAAGTAAGAACGATGAAGAGATGGTCTCTATGGCGATCGATATTGAAACGGAAAAACACGAGCTTTTAAATGTTCAAGATAAAGAACGAATTGAAGAAGAGAATCCAATGACTGATGTTAAACCTCTGGTCGAAGAACCAAACACACAACAAAATTTTCGCACAGACCAGTCTTCTAATGGCTTTGCCGAAGCTTACGAACTTGAACAACAGCCCCAGACCAAAGCTACTGGTTTATTAGATAGAAAGCCGTTAGCCGAATCAACTTTTCTTGCCGCATCAATTGATGGTACGCTCAGATTATGGGATAAAAGACAACAAAATCCAGTAGCATTTATTCCTAATAGAATAGGGGTGCCTCCATGGTGTATGGCGGCTTGTTGGTCTCCTGATGGAAATCTAATCTATGCTGGGCGTAGAAATGGCACTGTTGAGGAATTTAGTATTCACAAGGGATTAAAAACCGCCGAAAGAACTTTTAAATTCCCTTTGGGTAGTGGAGCGGTAAGTGCCCTGAGAGCCATGCCCAATGGAAGACACTTGATATGGTAAATTCTACGCGTAGTAGATTGCGCGTAAAGGCTAATTATTCTTAGCGCCTCACATGATATTCTTCGGCTTTATGACCTGAAAGAACCTCAAGCATTCAAGCATTCAACTGTTCCTTTTTTGATTGTTCCTGGTCCTCCGCGAGCAGGCGTAATTTCCGCACTACACATCGACCCGACCTGTCGATACATGATTTCCTCCGCAGGGAACCGAGGCTGGGAAGGTAGTACGACTGAAGTCTTGATTGGATACGAAATTGGGATCCCATCGTGAACACTTCTATATCGGTGATATATCAGCTATCATCAGCTTGTAGTGTAGACGCTTACCATCTTCAAGGATTGATTCACAAAAAAGTTTATGTCCGAACTAATGTCTTCGAAACGAGAAAATCGTGCGGAAAAATAAAATGGCGTCTTTGACTAGTACGGGGAATCAACTTTACGGCCAAAATACCATAGTCTCTTTGATTAGCGAGTCAAATGATACATAAGCAGACGCCGCCAGAACTAGGGATATTGGAATCTACACGTTAATCTACGAATAGATATACAAGAAACTTTCAATTTTTGCGACCATTTGAACAGAAGGCTCGCACAGGAAACTAGTACTGCTACTAGTTGATTAAGAATTGTATATGTATAAAAATAAAATTCAAGATGTGTCGATTGGCCTTAATTTTCGTATACGTAAGGTTAATTCAATGCAAAACGAAAGGCATAAAAGTGAGGTATGTATTATGTCTCAACTCTATCTATGAACAATACGAACGTCCAGTTTGCGGTATTAGCTGAGTCATCAATATAATGACTCAGCAAAGCAGAGATGCACCGCACTAAGCGCCTAGTCAAAGACATGCATTCCAACAAATTGATTAATTTGGTCTTTTATAATTTCAATCCTGAGTCTTGGGTTATCTAGAAAGCTGAGAACTTACAAGCAAACTTCAAAGCAGATAATATTTTAGAGATTTGGATTTTATGTGGTAGTTGTCAAGCTAGTTTGCCTAAAAATCCATCACTTAAGTCACTACATTTAGTTTCTAAATCATGGAGAACGGAAAATAATTTTTCCTTCAGTATCCGACCGAGGATTTCGTCAATTCTCAATCACAAGGAATACAGGGATTATACTCAATTCTTCATACAAAACTATTACTGATCCTTAGATACATCTAAGTTTAAAGCTTACAAGCAAGTTTGAAATATTGAAATATGTTTCTTACAAAGTATCCTCGACTTTTCTTCAGTCTCAACTATCTAAATGTCGTCTGTGTTAAATTATAAGATTGTTAACCAAACATAATCATTCCTGTACCTGAACATAATGGAGTTATGGTTGTATTTATTACTTACTTAGGAGTATAGAGGGTAAGGCGTTTGGAGATCTTAGATACCCTGTATTAGTAGTTCCGTATTAGCGCATAGACGAGGCTGGCAGACACATATTAATAGGAGTATGGGCACAGCATTGAAGGATGTGGCGATCGTGAGAATCATACACGATAGTTTAACTCAATACTTTATCAATTCTACTTCCAGTACTTACGTACCACTCACATACAAGAATCTTATTCTAATAGTCTGAATACATCTTTTCAACTTTCAACCGTCTAGATCCGAATGACTACTCATGCTTTCAGGCCATCAACATGATTTATTCGACTTTGAACTTTATGTGGATTGATTACATGTGTATGTTATCACAGACACAGGAAAAAATTTACAAGGTTGGTTAGTGAGAGGCTAGATTGATTCTGACATTTTTCATCAGAAAACTTGCTCCAACGATAAACGGGCTACAACTTCTGATCTATCTACAGATTCATTTTTATATTATCTGTATCCGCTAGTTATTTTGGATCTAGCTTGCAAACTCTCGCTTGATTCATTATTCTAGGTTAGGGCTGTAGTTTCCGATTAGCAGTATTCTTTTATACAATACAATACTATACTTAGTAGCTTCAGATATAATTTAGCATACAATATGCTACCTGAGCTACATGTCTGCTTCTATACGGCAAGCTCAGGGATAAGTCAAAAAACCGAAACCACGCCGGAATCACTCACAATTTAAAGACCCAACGAATGATCAGAGCAAAAGCCTGTAATTTAACACAGTTTATATGACGGAAGCCAAGTTGGTGTTGAATAAGTCAATTTATCAAATTATTCGAAGAGAAGAGATACCTCTAACTACGACTGATAAGAAATTACATCAATCTATCCGCTCTGTGAATCTTCTGATTGATAACTCTCCGCTAGGCCTAATACTTGCTACTAAGCCATGTATTATCAAGAGCCATTGCGCTATAGCGTTGCTTCGACCTCCTGACCAGTAGTGCTATTCCATCCATCTTTATTTATCTCACCCTTTCAGTCTCATCATAATTATCCTCAACAATACGCTTAGATTTCATCCTGAGCTCAAACAATGGTCAAGCCGTTGTAATTAGGTTAGGAATTGTTTACTAGTACCTAAAGCAAACATAATTATTAGAAACTGTTATTCAGCCATAGGCGTAAAAATATAATTACTATAGGTTGTACTTAAATCAGAAGCGTAAGAGACTAAGTAATGTGAAAAGTACATAATACCACTCTAGATTCAGCGTTCTCCATGTCAAAGTCCTCCATTGTACTACCAAATCCAGTATTGCACTTGTGACCTTATACTATTAAAATATACGTACTCTGATCACTTGTATAACTTAATAAAATACACTGCACAGCAAATATAAGGCGAAGATGAAACAGCATTGAATTGATATCCTACAGTGGTGAAATGAGTTGGGTCTTGAAAAGGTCCCATCCACCAAACTGTGTTTCATTTATTTACTCTATTCTAAATCTGTCTCATTCTCTCGTATAATTGAGGAGTACTGTCAGTGACTTGAGTCATCAAAGTATGACTACTCCTTCACTTGACAGATCGTCTCTACGACTCTTCGCTTACATTACTCGGTGAATAACAACTAACGGGTCTCTTCCAGACAATGCACGCCTCGTATCTAAGAGTGTCGTGTAATCCGATACTGGAGGATCCATGTTCTTTCTACTAGGATATGATTTATTTCTCTAACATAAACTTATAATTTTGGAAGAGTAAGTTATTATCAAGGTATATAAATTTAACAGCTGTAAGTGGCGTTCCTCGTAAACTTTTATCACTGTGACGGTTAGTAAAGCGAGTAATGCCTGTAGTATACGCTGGCTAGCACAGAAAGTCCATGGCTCCTGTTCATACTTTAGAGGAATATTCTCGTGGATTCTCAGATTTGTTTACCTAGCATATCTTTCTGGTGGAACATTCGAGACTAGAACAGAGATGATCGAGGGTCACCTAGATGGAGTGGGAAACTTCTAGCAATGAAGAAGGAACATGACAGGGACGAGACGAGAAGTTACTAGAAAGATCTAGATTAGAAAGCCGTGAATACTCCTGGGATGAAGGCCAAGAATAGAATGAAAAGGAATGTGTAAATGCACGTCCGACTCCCACTACAGCGTACCATAAGTCGAAATATAAACTATCATCTATATAAATGCTCATTTCTTTGTACCAGATCTGTGACAATAGCTCACTCCAAATTATTCAGAGTTAATATAAAGTTATTCAATCTTTAGGAGAGCTCCATTTTTCTAACAGTTCATTATCATCCCCAGAATCTTAGAAGACGAAAATAGCTGGGCTAAGCTCACTTACAGCGGACAGTCCTTGTAATGACTTGTCTTGCAATTTGACACAAGATCTGATTTTTATCGACTTTGTACTTGATCGTCGACTTTGTATAATGGTGTTATCACAGACACGGAAATAGGTTCATTAGATTGCTGAACGAGAGGCTAGGATTGATTCCGATATAATTTGGTTGAAGACTTGTCCTACAGTTTAGAGGCTACAATATCTTTATATATCTACGTATTTATCCCCATATTCACCATATCCGCTAGCCATTCTAAATCTAGCGTGCATAGCCCAATTTATCTCATTATTCTGGATTTGAGCTGTAGTTTCCGAATAGCAGTATTCTTTTAGTAACTATAATATCTTGCAGCTTTAGAGTTAGTTAACCGTACGATACATCCACCTGAGCTACATGCCTCCTTGATATGCTGCCCGCTCGGTGATCAGTGAGATAACCGAAGCCAAACCTTAACAATAACTTTAATTACGAACCCATGAATACCTAAGACAGAAGCCTGCAACCTAACACAATTAGGTTAGGAATTGCCGACTATAACCTAATCCAAACATATTTCTTTGTAAGCCTGAATGAAGCAAGGACAAATGCTTGGATAACCAAAGGTTTTGAAACGTCCCTCTGGTGGGTACTTACGGAGGAGGGTCGACTGTTTGTGTAAGCAAGCATACCTCATAGTGGTATTTGCGAATGAAATCCAGAGTATGAGTGTCTCTAACGTCAAAAGAGTCATCCAACATGTATACATAGCACCGGTCATTTGTCATAGCTAGTTAGCTGAATACACATTAAATGATTTAAAAAAAAGTGAAGCAAGGACATGAGTAAAGACTTAAAAGATAGAGCGTGCTCACATCAAGCACATCAGAGTTAGTCCTGCAATTTTGGGCGGATTCTCAAAATACTTTAGGAGGTTAACTATGTCTCTTGAATTATAAATATTGGTCATACGAAATTATCCCTGCACCTTGGCATGTCGGATTTCTAGATTTATTAAGGAGATAATGACCCCTCAGTCATTGAGGTTGTAGTGCTCGTTGATTTAAGCAACTACCGGAGTGAAATTAAGTACAGAATCTGTAGTCACGTGCGTACCAACGACACGGCCTACTTGATAGCCCCAATTATTCTTAATACTAACAAGATTTAGTATAAATGAATATTTAGACTTCCAGGTATATGATCAAGATCAATGGACCTGATTTTACTGCATGTGGATAGACTTAGTTGGGGTTGGATGGTGCAGTGGTACACCATTCGGGCCGTACTCCAAAGTAGAATCTGGTTGGCTTGAACACCTATTCCGTGTGAGACATGAGAACAGAATAGAATAGATTGGAATAGAATCAAATTTAAATCCCTACTGACTCTATGGTTATTCAAAAAGTATCGGCCGAAACGAGATAAAGATCTGGACCTCTTCATGCGCTGCAAACGACCGCCGGAATTAGCTTTACCAAGATGGGCATGTCATCATCTTATTGCGGCAAGAACTGGCCACGGGGACTACGCCGACTACCACCGGCGTTTCAACCCTGAATATGAAGATTTGAAGTGCGTTTGCGGCCGAGAAAAAAGGCCCTGGCATTTTTCAGAGTGCCGACTTGCTTTGCAACGTTGGAGAAGCTCTGAGAAAAAGGCCTCGCCTGGGGCCAGGGAAATGATACGGGAGAAGAGATGGCAGAAGTTCATCCAATTCTTAACCACTAGCAAATGCTACAGTCTGCCGAAGAATAAACAGGGTGGGAGATGACCACGCTGAAACAGATTCCAACTCGAGAGGAGATGTGTTTGGAGGATAGGGATGCGGCGCAGGGCACTGTATTTCAGACATTTATTGTTTCTTTCTTTTTAATTTCCTTTGTCGCTTCTGGCTTTAATTTCGGTCATGTAGGTAGCAATGAGCTCTCAGAGCTCATCTACCCGTGTCACGTCTAAATAAATGTAGGGTCCGTCCTATCACGTTAAATATTTCAAATCAAATCAAATCTATGATTATGAAAGCCGGCAAAGACGAATTCTTCCGCTTCCAGTGGTGCCGGTGTAATGGCTCAGTATGCTCTGCATATCTGGGATAGCCAAGAAGAATCGCATCCGAATCGAAGTCGAAGACAACCTCAACCACATCTCCATTTGACGACTCATCGTTAATGT